CACGTCGCGCGCGGCGCCTGACGTCCGGCTCGGCGGCACCCCCGGCCCCCGGATCCGGGGCCGCACGGCGGGCGGCTCACAGCAAGGATGGAAGCGGACCCAGAACCGGACGGAGGCCGCCGCGGCTCCTTCCTGCTGCTCCTCATCTCCGAAATGGACCGTCTGAGCCCAAGAGGACTTTGCTGAAATCCTAACGGCCAGCCTGCTCGCCCCCTGACCTTCCCACCACTCTCGAGCCCCTTGTTCTTTTTGTTTTCCTCTCTTTATTGGGGGGGGGTCCTCGGGGCTTGAACTCAGGGCCTGGGCGCTGTCCCCGAGCTCTTGGGCTCAAGGCTCGCAGCGCTCTACCCCCTTGGAGCCACAGCACCCCGAACCGTTTTCTGGTGGTTAACGAGAGATTGGAGCCCCACACACCTTCCTGCCCGGATTAGCTTTTGCACCCTGATTCTAGATCTCCGCCTCTGATCGCAGGCGAGAGCCACCTGCCGCCCCGCCGTTGATTTACCAACAAGGTCTTGCTGTGTAGCCCAGGCTGGCCTCTCAACTTGGCAGTCATCCTGCCCGGCCTCCCAAGTACTGGGATTACAGACGTGTAAACCACACCCTGCCTCTTTATTTTTCTTCAAGATACCTATAACGACCTGAAATTACACAATGACATGTGTTTGGTGTCTGTCTTCCCTGCTCATTGAGGACAGGATCTTATGCTCTCTTTTTCTCTCTCTGCTCTCTCTGAGGGCTGATGGGGGTGGGGGGTGAGGGGGGAATATATTCTGACTCTGACACCGTACGTTATCGATATTTATTGAATGAGTTCCTACAATCAAGTTTTGGTGATAATTCCAAATTTAAAGACATTTTGCATCCAACCCCCAAATTTGTCCTTTAAAATATAACTGGCATTTTGCTTCCCACCCACACACCTAACTAATGGCCTGCATTCCAGCCAGTGGAGGAGAGGCTTTGGGCATGGTAATCCTATCGGAAGGAGAAGCCTTAAAGATAGATGCTGTTTGCTTAGAAATGTTTAAGACATTGAGAAAATGTCCACTGTTCTTATGAAAAAAAAAAGTCTAATGGGAGGTGGGCAACACTAAAGGTCCCTCCCTGAACTTCCCCTTAATACCCAAACCTTCATCTACCTAAGTCCACAAATTACAAATGTGGAAATTAATCACAAATCTGACCTTCCCTTTCTAGCAATTTATTGGGCAAGTAATTTTGCCTCCAAATGCTTCATCCGTTCCTTTTGAAAAGTCCACACCATCTATTTTAGGCCCTGTAGTGAACCTACTGAAAAATCCTCCTGAATGGTCTCCCTGCCCAGAGTTTCTTCTCTATTCTGACTATGCACCCCACAGGTGTTGGAATGACCCACCCCCGCCCCGCCTTTGGTCATGGAGATTGAATGTGGAGCTTTGCGCCTGCTAAGCACATGCTTTACCACTGAGCCACATACCCAGCCAGAGATTTTTTTGTGCAGACACTGGGGCTTACTCACTCTACCACTTGAGCCACACCTCCACTTCTGGCTTTCTTCTGGTTAATTGGAGGTAAGAGTTTCTCAGATTTGTCTGTTTGGGTTGGCTTTGAATCACAATCCTCAGATCTCAGTCTAAGTAGCTAAAGTATGAGCCACCAGTGTCCTGATGAGAATGACTTTTCTAAAGTGGATGCCTTAGGTTGCTAGGGCAAGCTCCAGATTCTGCTCCTTTGGGTACCTTCTTTTTTTCCCCACCCCAGTCTCCCACTTCACACTGCATGACCCCATCCTCTAGCCCAGGATCAGGCATTTAGTAGACCTAACAAGCACTACATAGCATCATTGGGCCTTCACACACAGTAGTGGTTCCAGTATGCTCATACCAATCATTGTCAAAGAGTCTGGGTCTTATCCCAAGAGACTACCTTTCAAAAAAGAACATTTGCAGTTTTATATCTATTCTGCTACCGCATATGTTGCATATGATGTTTTACAGATACAATTATTGCAGTAATGTTATGGGGAATAAACTGTATTACTCAAGCTCAAACCACAGATCAATAGAAAATTGTTTTCTCAGAAGTTAAAAATTGTTACAATGTTATTGACCATAAATTTTAGTGCTGTAAAGATAAAACACAGAAGCAAAAGATCATTTTATAACTAGGTAGAATGTAACATATACAGTAGCAATCAACAGGATTACATCTCCCTCCACACCTCCTTTAGTCTCTTCTCCCTCATAAAAGCCTACCAACCTCCTCCAGCCAGACCAAACTGGACCAAAGTCCTTGATATCCATAACCTGAAACACTTCAGTGCCTTTGTTCTGTCTACCCAGACAGAAGAGGGAAAGATTTCTGTGAACAGAAGAAATAGAAGTGTGATTTGTACTCACAATAGATGCTGGATACACAGTAGTCTTGTCATTTTCCAGTGGAGAGGGAGTAATGTAAATGAAGACATCGTATCAGGTGGCACCCCTGGATATGTGAGAAACAAGTGGGGGAAATGTAGAGAGAAGGGAAGCAAGCTAAGATTTTGGAACCACTTTTTCTCATTTGACACTTGAGGCAACAAAAGGTAGGTAATGCTATTTGCGTTCATCTACAAATATACTCATTTTTCCCTTAAACTTGATAGCTGGGGGCTGGAAATGTGGCTTAGTGTAGAGTGCTCACCTAGTATGCATGAAGCCCTGGGTTCGAGTCCTCAGTACCACATACACAGAAAAAGCCTGAAGCAGCGCTTGTGGCTCAAGTGGTAGAGAGCTAGCCATGAGCAAAAGAAGCTCAGGGAAAGTGCCCAGGACTGGCAAAGAAAAAAAAATTCAATTCCTACTGTAAACTGGCCAAATGCTAGAGACACTAAAATAGAACAAAATGAACAGCCTAACTTCAAGGAGAAAGATGCACAGGAACAGGTGGTCTTCAAATGAGAGCACAATGTACTATTAATGTCCTGGAGGAAGAGCTAATATAGGTATTGGGAGCCAAGAAAGACTTAGGTATCAAGATTAGGTTGATTGTAAATAAGTCCTCAAGACAAGCTTACTTCTGCAGGACAGAAGCTAGTTTTGCACTTTGGAGATGTATAGAGGTAGGACTGATGTAACAACTCTGGCCTCAAAAGTTCCCAGACACCCAAGCTTCTCTCTTGCAATTCAAATGGCTGTTTTAAGTCCAGCCATCTTGATTTTATTGCAGCCAGCAGGAAGGAGGACAAGTAAAAGTAGAAAGTAAAAAAGAAGTAATTATGTCAGCAACCTTTTTTTAAAATGTTTTCACAGCCCAGTGTTGGTGGCTTATATCTCTAATCATAACTACTCAGAAGACTGAGATCTAAGAATACTGTTCCAAGCAGAAAAGTCCATCAGACTCTTAACTCTAGGTAACTAGCAAAAAGCCAAAAGTAGAGATGTGGCTCAAGAGGTAAAGTGCCAGCCTTGAGAGAAAAAGCCAGGCAAACACTCAAGGCCCTACGTTCAGTGACACACACACACAGAGTTCCCAGCCAAGCCACTAGTGGCTCACACCTGTAATCCTAGCTACTCAGGAGTCTGAGATCTGAGGGTCACAATTCAAAGTCAGCCTGACCAACAACAAAATCTGTGATACTCTTATTTCCAATAAACTACCCAAAAGCCTGAAGTGGAGTTCTGGCTCAAGTGATAGTACACTAGCCTTGAGCAAAAGTAGTTCAAGGACAGCACCTAGGCCTTGAGTTCAAACCTCTAGATGGGCACAAAAAAAAAAAAACCTTCCCCTACACTGCCACATTCCTACATGACATTTCATTGATCAGAACTCAACCATACATTCATATTAATTTGCAAGAAAATCTGGAACATACACTTACCAGCTAAGCACTGGTTGAAAAGTCGTCTATTACTATAGAAAAATTGGGAAAGAACACTAAAGACAACTAAGAGTCTGCCCAAGTTCCCAGAGTTAGTAAGAGCTAAGAGAAGATTTAAAGACTAAATAGAAGTCATTGACAGGGAAGGAGAAAACAAGAGTGGGGAGACCAGGAGTCCATTGTACATTCTACAAGAGTTTAGGGTGCAAATGGGGAATGAGCTTCAAGGAGGCAGGAGAGATGAGTGAAAGGCTAGACTCAAGACTTCTATTCTAAGAGCTTCTGTGTCAGATGCTGAAGGAGTTGCTGCCCTCAGGTAATTCTGCAAAGCAAAAATATGGAATCTTCTCAGAGTTGCTAAACTCATAAAGTGGGTTGGAACTTGGCTCTGCCTAACAGCCTAGCCTCTTTTATCCCCTTATCCTAAAAGAGTTGGCAGCCCAGCTGGGGAAATGATCAAGCATGAAATATGCAAGTAGCACAAGCTGGTATAAAATTATAACAGTCCTAAAATTTTTCAGGGCCTTCATTGCTGGAAGTATGGCTTTCATGTGGGAGAGAGTGAGAACTGAGAAATTGAAGGAAATAGCTTTTGGGATTCAGAGAGCAATTACTTTCTTTTCTACATCCTTTCAGTTCCTCACTCTAAATGGTTTATTTAAAGTGTGCATGGAGTTCTGATAATAAATTGCATGCCCAAGATCATTCTTGACCCACTCCCTAGAGTCCAGCACT